TCATCAACTCTTGAAAGATACCGCCGTTTTCTATAAAAAGGGGTTTTGAAGTGTACTGGTGCTATTTATTGTTATTCTTTTCTGCTTTGAAGAGTGAAAAGAAAAAGCTTTTGAGTGCTGCAGAAAAATAAACACACAGTAGCAGCGGCAGACAATGATGATAGAAGAGTGTAGACTTCTTTTTCTTGGGCTGAAAAGAGCGAGGACGTGCACTTGATTTATGAGGCAGATTGGGTTGGTTGAAAGCAGCAGCAACTACTGTTCAAGCTATTGGTCGGGTGGATGCTAGGCAGTGTTAGAATGAATGGAATGAAAGCAAACGAATGAAAAGAAACGGAGGATGCAGTGTGTGGGGGAGAAAGACGGCGCTTATCTCCCGTTTAGCACTCACTCACGAGTTCAAATTGCGAGTTGAGGAGGAGGAGATGATGATGAGGACATCCTCATTAGCCTGGCCCATTACACTCTCCCATTTCACCAGCGCCAATTTAGCATCAGCACGCTGCACAGGATCTTTTTGGCCTTTGTATACTAATTTATCCTCTCTTTTTTGCTTTTCTTCTCCCCTAATCAGATCAAAGATCGTCGCCCTGGCCAACACAGCGGCAGCAGTGGTTCACTGGCCAGCCTGAACAACAACAACCACAATAGGGCGTCGCCGGGAAACATCTACTTCAGCGACAATCCCTTTGGAGAGGGGAAGCTGAAGAGTAGTGGTGGTAGTGGTGGTAATTCACCCTCATCACCCTCCGCCTCTTCAAAAGATCCCTTTGCCTCGGTGGAGGGCAGCGGAAGTGGCAGCAGCAGTAGCAACAATGGAGGAAGTAGCAATAGTCCCAGCGAGGACGACGAGGACGATGAGCCCGATGATATTGAGGGCTCCGGAGATGGAAAGGGAGGCGAAGGTCTTATCGGAGGTTCGAGTAATACCTCGACGACGACCACTACCACTTCTGAACCATCTTCTACGTCGACGACCACGACTACGACGACAACAACGACCACAACGACAACTACAACGACAACTCCATCAACGACCACCACTTCAACTACGACGACCACCACAACTCCTGCTCCAATTAGCAGCAGCAGCAGTCGAAGACCTGCTCTTCCACCAAGCGATGATGAGGACGATGATGATTTCACTGAAGGCTCCGGTGATAAACCTCGAAAGGAGTCGGCAGATGACGTGGAAGGCTCGGGTGATAGTAAGTCATTCTAAACCCTTTTTCAAAACCTTTTTACTCAAACTTCTTCCTTTCCTAGAACCCAGAGAAGCTGTTGAGTCAATTTCNATGATGATTTCACTGAAGGCTCCGGTGATAAACCTCGAAAGGAGTCGGCAGATGACGTGGAAGGCTCGGGTGATAGTAAGTCATTCTAAACCCTTTTTCAAAACCTTTTT